CAGACCATGTGACCAACAAGCCAAACAGGTACAGTTGAAAAAGTAAAGACACACAGGTACCCTCTACATGTTACATTACTGATTATTCTGTAGGTGAGTCATTTTAGACATATTAATAAAATCTACTATAATCCAGACATTTGGGAATGAAAATACTAAATTCCTTGTTTCATACTATTGGAAGGCAGGGCAGACAAGTGGGTTTGGTAAATATTTGTTTGGCCAGAAAAAGTAAACAGATGTTTGCGGTTTAATTATCATTGCCTGGTAACAGACACTCCCCCTTTGACACATGGTCAATTATTAACCCCTGACGTATGAACACATGAACACTGTTTCTATGAATGTCTTATTTAAAGGCTCATAATTTAAATGGTAAGCTGTTTTAGATCTCTGGCACTTTTGAACATTAACGTAAATAAACAAGTTTAAAGCACCAACTCATTCTCTTTTAGAGAAGATAAACCTTCTTGTTGAAAAAAGTGTTTTATATCTTGCAAAACCATCATCTGATGTATTGTACAAATTAAACTGCATTTTAAGTAGTGCACCCCCTAGTGTTGAAATGTGATGTTACACATTAAAGGTCCATCTATAAAATGTTTTATTTTCATCCATATTTGAGCCAAATACTACTGAGTAATAAAAATAGATCAGGGGTCAACAAGCTACATTATGAGCTGACCTTGTCTTGAGAAAAAGAAAGGCAGAGACAGTGTTTTGACCTTTTATTACAAACAACAATATTGCCCCATCATTCATGTCTGAGATGTGAAGACGTTTAACTCAGAAACCCCCACAGCCTCATAAAACAGGAGAAACCCCTATGAGATACCACCCCTGGTTTATTTCAGCTCACTCTTCCTCCTCTGAAATACTTGGAAGTTTTTCTGTTATCCATCACCACTTTGATCAGCTTCCTGTCAACAATGCTGTTAAATATGGATGAGACCAGGCACCATGTGTTACTTTATGAATATCCAACACTGTTTAAATAAAAAAAAAACAACAGCAGCCTGAACCCAGGCTTTGGTGATTAAAAATATGGAGGAAGAGTGTTTAATGAGGTGTGATGTTCAAGGTCCAGATAATTTATAAGCACTTTGCAGGCATGAAATATTTAGTCGTGTGTTTTGTAAGAATAACATTTCCAGGTCCAACACCTGGAACAAAGATCTACATCTGACGACCCAACAGCAGTTGTGATAACTTAAACTGCTAAATAAGAAAAATGTTGTCAGCTGTGATAGGCTTTAAAGGTGAATTAAGGACAATCTTCTTCAGAACGAGTCAAATTGCATTCAATGAGCTTTTCAAGCAAAAGAGCACAAAGTCCCTGGAGGCTGCAGATCCTCTCTAATTAGATATGTCCTTCGATACCACTCTTTTTCCATTCACGTCTGCACACTTTGCTATACGGCACAGAGCTGCAGCAGCAGTGGGACATCCAGGCCCCTCTGTGTTTGTGTACTCTCTGCCTCCACAGAATGAGTGGTGAAGTCAGTGTGACCACGAGAGTCTTTATGCGCTGGGCTGCTGGCACTGTGAACAGGTGCGTACCGCCCTGTCCCGGTGTGTCTGTACCTGCACGGTGCACCTGGTGAGACCATAGGTGTGAAGCAGCAGGTGGCGGGCCTTGGCCTGGACCTCCTCCCAGTTGTTAGCACTAGGGGGTGCTGTTAACACCAAAACATGCATTCATTATAAATCAGACCTTTGTTTTATTGAATCCTAACTCCACACTGTCCTGAGATGTAAAATACCCAAACACTAAGAAGCTGGATTTTCTAGCGTATCTGTTCAAATGATGTGCGGCACAAGCCAGGAAGCTTTTTCAGTCGCTCCGCTGCATTACCATGTAAAGTAAAAATATTAGAGCCAAAAGGTCAGGGGGAAAAACCAAGCATTCCTAACTAAATATAGGTTTTTAACTTCCATTTTGTTCTTACAGACTGAGGTCTCTGGGACAATGTTACGATGCAGCCCTGCATTCTTATTTTACTCATGCTTCAGTGCCCCGTGTGAATATTTTTATGTTCCTCTTCTTTTGTTTGATTTCAACATAATATTTATATGAAAAAGTTGTCCTGATTTTTAAAGTTATGGAAAATTTGTGTTGATAACAAAAAGTTCATTTATTATGACACATTAAGCCTGTTCAGACAGGACTAAATGATATGTGTTTGGATTGGATTGGATATGTGTGCAAACAAAAGTTGTATAAATTACCATATTTAGGAATTAAGGCAAATCCAATGTGTTTGAAGTCTGGATTTTCCAGAAAAGAGCCATTTTTACATAAACAATAGCTGAATCCTCTTGTGCATTAGTTGCTCCACCAGTGAGGACACAGCTCCCCCTTGTGTGGAGTCTGCAGATTAATGTAAACCATTTCTACAGGGATGGTTTATTGTGATGCAGCCAAACGCTTCAGTGGTACAAAACTTGCATTTGACTGAGATCTGTACATTGTTTCACCCAAACCTAGTGTCTTCATCGAGTATCCAGTCAGTCACTCACCGAGCTGCAGATGTACCAGTGCAGCAGTCTTATCGGCCGTCAGCGCCCAGACGTTCAACTCGTCCACCGATTGGACATCCTCCAGCTTCAGGAGGTCTTCTTTGATTCGCTGAATGTCCATGTGTCTGGGGACACCTGACAGCGCAGGACAACAGCACATATAAGAAAACAGCCAACACCAAACAGAAAACCATAAAACATCCGGAACGAACCTTCCAACACAATGATTAATGTGTCTCGTATGATTCGGAACGTGGTGAAGAGAACCAGCACCGAGAAGATGTAGGTGCAGATTGGGTCTGCCAGCTTCAGCTCGGGCTGTGAATTCAGAGTGTTATTGGAGTTAAAACCTTTTTTATTTCAACGGAACATCTTAATAGTTGTTTTTATCATAAACCGGCTTTACTCTTTTATCATTTACACGACACCTGAACATGTTCAAACACATCGTAAACAGTTTCAGTAAAGAGTGGTGTGGTGATCGGTTACTAATGAAGCTGTGACAAAGAGCGATGGGTGTGACAGACTGAGGCAACATGATGTCACTACATGAATGATGCATCACACACACCCATATTACAGAAGTGTGTGTTCACTCCTAGTTTATTTTTATCATTAGTTAAACTCTGTGTTAACCCTCCCACTGTCTTTATGGGTGACCCCGCGAGGAAAGTGTACCATTGAGCTGGGTTGATGGTTTATTCCTTCAGGTCCACATGGCAGGGGTGAGGAGTGAGCACCACCTCACCCCTGCCACGTGGACCTCAAGGGATAAACCATCAACCCTGCTCAATGGTACACTTTCCTCGCGGGGTCACCCATAAAGACAGTGGGAGGGTTAATTAAATGTTTAAAAATAAATTCAAGATATTTTCATTGAGTGATAAAATGACACAAAGTGCTCCAAACTAAGGTTTTAGGGAGTTCTTTAGTAAATAAAGCAAATAAATCTCCTGCCTCGATTACTGCAATGCCCTTCTAACTGCTCTTCCAGCCAGTACTGTGAGACCTCTTCAAATGGTCCAGAACGCAGCGGCGCATCTGGTCTTCAATCAGCCAAAAAGAGCACACGTCACCCCTCTGTTCATTGAGCTCCACTGGCTACCGCTAGCAGCACGCATCAAATTCAAATTGCTAACACTAGCATACAAAGTCCGAGATGGTACGGCTCCCATCTACCTGAATCCTCTTGCAAAGGCTTACGTCTCGGCCCGGTCGCGCCGGTCATCATGGGATCGTCGGCTAGCAGTGCCTACACCACGCTCAGGACAATCCAGACTCTTCTCATGCATCGTTCCACAAATGTGGAATGACCTTCCAAGCACTACCAGAACAGGGGCTTCCTTTTCAATTTTCAAGAAACTCCTGAAGACCCTGCTCTTCAGAGAGCATCTTCTTAGCTAGCACCCTCCCTGCACCCCCCCCCCCCCCTCTACTGTCCACTCCTTGTTCCCTACTCTCCATGACTGATGTCAATGTTGTTGTTGTTATTGTTGTTATTGTTGTTGTTGTTAGCCTCAAGGGCAACATGCCGATTATCACTTGTAAGTCGCTTTAGACAAAAGCGTCTGCTAAATACATAAACATAAATAATTGGGTGTACCTTGAAGCGAACTATATAAGCAGCTATGAGAACGCCGATGCTCTGGACAAGATCTCCCAAGGCGTGGATGAAGGCTGCTCTTACGGCCAGGCTGCCATGTGGTTTCTGCTGACCCGACCCGGTTGAATGTGGAACCGCAGAATGACCGTGGCCGTGTGAGTGGGAATGACCGCCTTGGTTTAATAAAAACCCCATTCTAAACACACAAAAAGAGCAAAGAATTCAGTCCAATTAGCTCGGTCAGTCAGAGTTTATCTTATTAAAATCTTTGCTTTAGGGTGAAAGGCGTCTCTCACATGAGATTAACAGCAACACCCACGGCTGCAGTGATGAGCATGATGTCTCCATCTATGTCGAAGTCCTGGTGCACGGTCCTCTGAACCGCTTCATAGAGCAACGCAGCCGTCAGGATGTAGATGAGCGCCACGCTGAGGACTGCCGATACCACTTCTAAAAACAAAAGTCACATTCAGCTGTCAGAAAAGGTTTAGAGTGGTTCTAAACAACAACAACAACCAGCCCCATATATTCAAAGTCCAACCTAAAGAAACAGTTCAGCCATTTTGAAGTAAGCGTCAAGTTTTCTCATAGCTAAGATGTGTGAGGAGAACAGGAGGTATAGGTTGTGTCCAAGACACTGATGCAGCAGAACAAAAACGAAAAAACAAAGTTGAGAAAGGCAAGAGAAGACATCTGTGTTGAAGTGGTGGAGCATTTCCTGGGGCAGACATTAGTCTGGTAGGGAACAGTAACAGCCCTGAGCTGTTTCACTAGATGGCTTACGGCTCAGAGAAGCCCCAATGTGAAGCTTGTTTATTGATGCAACCAGCGGTGGTCTCTGAGCAGTAGTGTAACAGAGCGAACTCTGGGGGTGAAAACATGAGGAAAATAAAGGTGTGTGAAGTCAGAATGACATCCTGTGGTCAAAGCTGATAAGGAGATAAATGCATTTCACTGTATTATTGAGAGACTTGTAGAGCCAACTATTTGCTTCCATCTTGTTAGCTCATTGTTAGCCTCTAGGCTTCTTCACCCGATATCAGAGTAAAACAACAAGATGCCGTGGTTCTTAGGGGAACAAGAAATAACTTCTGGGCCGCTCCTTTTACTGGGTAACATTATTTCCACAACTGCTGCTTTTTGCAGGCCAATGTCGAACTACAATTGCCGGCACAGCAGGGTTTACCATCAAAAGACTTTGCAACCTCGCAGGCTTACGTATGATTGGCTCTGAAACCAGGAAGTATGGAGGCGGGACAGATTGTAAACAGCGACTATGTCTCCTTGTGGCCTTGTTTTTAAAAGACCAAAAGTCAAAATTGGGGTCAAAATTGTTAACCATTACAGAAAGATTAAAATGCAAAAAGCTACAATAAACTGACTTGATTCTGATTTTTGCAGCATAATCAAAATGAAGTGTTTTACAGACACTCACATGAGGGAGATCCAATCATATGCAGGTACAAGGTGCTGCATCGGCTTTTATATGCATATAAAGTTCTCGATGTGGACAAAAACCTAAACAGCTGAGTCAGCACTCACTTTGACAAAGACCCAGGTTAGAAATCTTGGTGTCATAATTTGGTGTCTGGATTCCTGCTGTTTGGCCTGATCAGTTACCTGGCTTACCGGAAAATGTACGAGCTTTCGAGGAATATTGGCTCAATCTTGGAGCTCAGGGATGGGATGCATCATGCAGTGAACGCACAAACTCATATTTGTCGAGATGAGTCGTAAGCTTGGAACTTTGGCTGAGATTCAGGCTCTGGCACAAAAGGTGGATTCCATTAAGGAGCGAGTGTTGAATGAATGTTGTAATGCTGCACCAAAACTTCTTGCAAAATACTTCTTTTTAATTTTTAAATTGTATTTTCTGTCGCGTTGATTTTAATGTTCTTGCTAATGGAAAGCACACTGAATTGCCTCTGTGTATGAAACGCGCTGTATAAATAATGCTGCCTTGCCTTGTTATGTTGTTGGAAACATAAAACGACTTGTTTGGTTATTTTCACACAGTCAGGGTTAAGTTTTCAGAAACTTGGTGAAGTCATTTTTATTTTATAAAAGTATTAAGTCTCATGACTTAGTTAAAACAGATAAGTGCCTCCTTCAACTAACAACTTACTCCAGCTGTTCCTAAATCATGTTGAATCTTTGGTTCTGACGGGGTTATTAATATGCATACTGTGAATGGTTATGTTGAGCTTCTGAAGGAAACACCAGGTCTCCGTGTCTCTGGAACAAGATTCTGATCACACCTGAGACCTGCTGTAACACTCTCTCTTAAGGTGTTTGAAATGCAAACTTTGGTTTTTGCTGCACAGACATAAACGAAACAAACAAACAAAATAGACACAGATAGAAAACGGATATGGGGGGGGGGGGGGAAGTGCTTCTGAAACTCACCGAGGCGATGTAGCCCAAATGTGAATCTCTTGGTAGGAGGCTTAGTGGAGAGCCAGAGGGCCAGAAGAGAGAACAAGATACCCACCACGTCTGTTAGCATGTGCACAGCATCCGTCATAATGGCTAAACTGTTTGATACATAACCACCTAAAGGAAAAGGGACAGTAATAATTAAAATGTCATGGCATATAACCAGTTTCCATTAAAGCTACTATAACAAACAGTTTTGAAAACACAATTAATGTGGCTCTGCTAGAAAATTAACATATTTATGATAATCGATGTTTCTTTGATTCTAAACATAGAACATAAACCACTGAAACGGTGACAGCATTCAAACAAAAACCTCTGGGATATTTAAATGTAATAAAAGACAATAATTACTATAAATATACCCAGTTATAATTAGAAACACTGACCCATAGAAAACAAAATCCACCTTTGTCACATGATGGAAATCAAAACTAAATCACCACATAATTGTTTTCTCAAAAAGGCTAACATAAAATGACTTTTGCACAAGAGCAATGCCACTAGTGAAAAACACAGATTAATGTTCTAAAACATTGTCCAGTATAATAAAGCTAACAGGGCAGGTTTTATTATGCACACAAAATACCAAACTCAATGACTGGAGCTTGAAAATGAGAAATCCAGATAGTAATCTCAACTATATTTAATAAAACCTTAAAAAGTGATATTTTCTCCTGTGTTTTTTTTTAAGGATGTCCTTTCTTACAGGTTAATGTTTTACAACACAGAGGGCAGTCTTTGTTTTAGTCCAGCTGTTACAGATTTTTTTTTTTTTTTTTGCCAATGGAAAACAAACTAAATCAATTTCCTTGTAGGTTATAACATGGAAAGAACATCAGTTTACGACAGCCTTCCTCAAACAGAGTTCTGTGAATCCTTTCACTGTTTTAATGAGTCTGTTGCCTTCGATCATAAATCACTGTTTGATCAGCTGTAGGGTGTTTGAGGAGCATGGGGCAGGTGCGCTAGCTAGTGCACCACCACCTGATCACAATTATTTCAGCTGATTCAAAAAGACAAAACAAATGAGTTAAACTAATAGAAACGTGAGCCTCTGTGTTGTTTTCTATAGCAACTGGGGTCCCTTTGTGCTTCTATGGCACTAGCCGTTAATCCCAAGTCATCCAATACTTGGCCTTTTGAATTTTGATGAGCATCTACTGGGTTTGGAGATTTAAACACACACACACACACACACACACACACACACACACACACACACACACACACACAAACTTAGAGGTAGCCCCTTAAACACACAGATTTCACGGCCACAATAAGAGGTCCATTCTGCAGATACGTACCAATGATTTCACCCATCATGAACAGAAAATACAGTAACGCTGCGATGATCAGCCTCTTCATCACCTTCCTGTGTTTGATTCTCTCCCTCTTCTTGGTGCAGCTGTCACAGGGGTCCATGTTCAGCCCCGGGCTGCCCAGACTGGAGTTAGAGTCCAGCAGGGAGTCATCGTCATCCTCATTCCCCACCACCATGGTGTTCACCGACACTCCGTTAGATGGAGCTCCAGCAGAGTAGTCTGACATCTCCCCGGAGACCACCACTACTAGCTTGTTGAATTTGGGGGTCTCATCGTCCATCAGTTCGTCGGATAGATCCAAGGGAGCCGTGTCGCTCAGGGTCATGTCGCTCCGCTCCCTCCTGAAGGCGGACCGCACCTTACCGAAAAGCCTTCGACCTGACATTTTTATGTGCGGGGCTTATATGGTCCAGGATAGCTCGGTCTGCAGGATCGGAGGTATTCATTCACATCTTTATTACGGGGCGCGCTGCGTTTCCATTCTCCTGACAAAAGAAAGTAACATAAAACATACAGCGTGTCGTTTTACACCGGTGCAGCTCAGCGATTTCAACACCCCCCTCTGATTTGTCATCAGTTTCTAGGCTTGGACTTTCATTCCAACATGAGCTCTAGAAACAGAGTTCGATATTCCTCCTAAACAGTTTGGGCTAAACACCAATACGCTAGCGACCGGAGGATACGTTTGTTTAATCGGTTTGAGACAAATGGACAGCTCTTACAGCTCTGTAATTTATTTAAATATATTAGATAAACTTACCCACAGAAAACCATCTTCCTGTTTAAACTTATTTGTCAAACAGAAAGTTGTGTCAAAACTGAAGTCAACACCCCGGAGGTGTCGACTTTACCTTTAGCTCGCGAACGCAACACAGGCGACTCAGTTCCCTTCCGTTGGTTTCGTGATCACGTGACGACGTACGAGTCACATGACGCTATCTCATGCACCACATCCTACAACAAATCGAAAACAAGCCCTCTTGCTTGTCATTTTCTGTCTTTTCAACACAAGTAGACCTTCCGCGGCGCTTCAGCAAACATTTAAACAGGTAAAACGTTGTTATAACTATCCTTTATAGACAGTAGAACAGCTGGATCGTTTATAGCTAACTGTGTCATGCCTTGCTCATTATGAAGCTCAGGAGTAAGCTAGCTTGGCATTAGGTCGGTACACGAGTCTGTCAGATAAATGTCGTTTAACTAGTTATTTTCCTCAGATAAAAGGGTGAGCTCTCAGGGGGATCGTTTGGAGTCTCCAGCCAGACTGGGTTAGCAGGACTGTAGCTCATGGAGGCTGAGGGAATGGAAGAGGAAGGACATTCGTCCCAGAGCGAACTTCCAGGTATGTGAAAGAGAAAGGATGTCTTTTATTTTTTTCAGTTCTTTGTTCTCCATGGTTCATATTTAAAATCCACGAATCAGTGGCATGCAGATTTGGAACAATTTATTTACTCCTAATGAACTCACCTTCAAGAAGTAACACAAAACTTGTATGTTTTTTTTATATATTAAAGTTATTCATCATTCTCAAAGATGAAGAAGGCTAGAATAACATATCCAAAGTATTGGACCATTTTATCTGACATTTAACAAATAAACGTTATGATAAGAATAATAACTTGCACAAAAAGTAGGTGTCAAGAAGAAAAAAATCCAAATCGTGATTGTTTTGGTTGATACTGCACTAATTAAAAATGTCTAAATGCTTATATTTTGTATTGTCTTCTCTAACCATGCACTAAATTATTGTAGAGTTGTGTCTTCGTTGGGACTGCGAGATAGAACAAAAAAAATGTGATTGCAATATTTTCCTGAATAATGCATTAATGATGGTGATTGCCTTAGGTCCACAGTTTCCTCCTGGACATTATCATCTTCATCACAATATTATGAATCATCACTCCCAACCCTTTCTGTGTATTTTTATTGGTCCTTAAATCTAAATCAGCCCAACCCCATTAAGGACAATAATAGTCTATTATATGGACATTCTAGTGAACAAAATATGGTGGTTTATCATATCATACACTTTAATTGTATAAAATTTTAATAACGACATGTTTGTGATTTACTGTGAAGCCCTTGTTACAATAATCTGCCAAAAGATTTCATTAAATAACACCATCCATTTCTGTTTTTAACTGGGCTTTAAATATACCCAGAGAGGCTTTTGATGTCACAATAATGTAAGTACATTTCCAGTTTTGGTTCTTTTTTTTAAACCAAAAATGAAATTAGAAGTCAAACGCAGCAAGAACGTACCAAAGAAATGTAAGTACAACTTGGAACTTTTGTAACTAGAAATTGTGAGCCAGTCCAGATAATTTAAAACTGGCATCTGAAGTGTCAGCAGGAGGAATAACAAGCTGAAAGTTTCTGTTTCTGAGTGTGTGAATGTCAGTGTTTTATTTCAGCTGCAGCACTTGATTTATCCAAACTCTCTGACAGATCTGCAGTCAACTCAGCAGCAGCAGCACCAGCCACTGGATCTGCAAAGCTCAACCCCGGTTGAGAATATATATGTGAATAAGAAAGTAACGGACAAACTGACAGAGGGGTTTCTTTCTAATTACCTCCCAGACCTACAGAACTCTAAACGAGCCCTTCAGGAGCTCACGTGAGTATTTGTATTCTCTCTGTTTCACGGCAGTTCCTAAGATGTTTTTGACCACTGTCTCATCGGGTCTACTTCATGAAGAGTAAACAAACAAATGCAAAATTGATGATGGCAGCAAGATGGATCAGGATCGTGTGCTCAGTTCTCATGTTAGGGCAAAGTTGTCCTGGCTTTGTTCCAGCTGGACATCGGATCGACCTGAACACGTTATTTTCCTCCAAGCTGTAAAATGTGACATTGCTAGGATGTCTATTAATGTTTTTCTTGTCACTAATCAAGATGAAGGTTATGTGCTGAGAGGACGTTTATTGTTTTACTGTAATTAATAGATTGTTTAAGACAACCTGGGAATAATATAATGATAAAGACAAATAAATACAATTATTTACAGTGAGGCAAAAAGTATTTAGTCAGCCCCCGATTGTGTGAGTTCTCCCACTTAAAAAGATGAGGTCAGCAATTGTCATCATAGGTACACTTCAACTATGAGGGACAAACTGAGACAAAAATCCAGAACATCACATTTTCTGACTTTTAAATAATTTATTAACAAATTATGGTGGAACATAAATATTTGCTCTCCTACAAACAAGCAATATTTCTGGGTCTCACAGACCTGTAACGTCTTCTGTAAGAGGCTCCTCTGTTCTCCACTCATTACCTGTATTAATGGCACCTGTTGGAACTCATATCAGTATAAAACACACCTGTCCACAACCTCAAACAGGCACACTCCAAACCCCACTACAGCCAAGACCAAAGAGTTGTCAAAGGACACCAGAAACAAGACTGTAGACCTGCACCAGGCTGGATGACAGATTCTGCAGTAGGGTTGTCACGGTGTGAAAATGTAACCTCACGGTTATTGTGACCAAAATTTTCACGGTTTTCGGTATTATCGCGGTATTTTTTTTAAATGTGTTACATTTTCAGGCAACTACATAAACCCTGTATATTAGGAAAATATTGTCCTCAGTTTGTGTCTAAATTTGGCCTAAAATGTGTTATTTTGTACTTAAGTTTTTTATTTGTTTACATTTCTCCCCTTTAGTCTTTAAAATACCAGTATTTGCCCATAACTTCTTATTTTTTTGTCTGTTTGATATCATCATTTAAAAATATTAGACCAGATGATACTCAGTACTCAAGTAGCCTTCTAATCAGATACTTTTTTTACCCTTACTTGAGTAATAAACCCTACATCAGGAAAATATTGTCCTCGGTTTGTGTTCCAGTGAGCTTTGCAGATGTGGGGAAAATGTCATCAGGCAGTAATCATTGTTAAATTTATAATTATTCTCAGAGAGAGACCAACTCTTATCTGCCCCTGGGAGCCCCGTAATGCATAGCATCATTTCAACATGGGGGTGTCCGTGACACGGTTTATATGCAGGTAGCGGCGCTGCAGCTGCTTTATATAGCGACTCGTTGCATTCTCCCTCAACCCAAATCCTCGGATCACACATTTTAGCTAAAACGCTAACGCTAACTTGCCTTGCGTTGACTGTAGAGTTGTGGGTGATGGTCACGCAGATGTGTCATGAGATTTGAAGCGTTTCTGCCTTTCACAGACACTTTCTGCACGTGCTGCAAACAGGATAGCCGTCTTCTATCAACTGTCCCTCGGCATTCTTCAAATATACAAAAAATGTTCGTACTTCCCACTTTGTCTGCTTTGAGGGATAAAAATGTCCTCCTGAGCGCTGCCGTCTCCTCCTTTGGCCATTATTTCAGCTTTAGCTTCAAGAAAGTTTTGGCGTAAACAAAGTGAGCATGTGCCGCCGGCAACTTCGGCAGATGATACGGTGGCTGGTAAGGGTCACCGTGCCTACACCGCAGCCATGGTAGTCCGCCGAGATATATATATATTTTTAAACAAGACGGTTATTATTATTGTCAACTTTTTTACCGGGGTTTACTGCTACACCGGTTACCGCGACAACCCTATTCTGCAATAGGTTAGCAGCTTGGTGTGATGAAGTCAACTGTGGAAGCAATTAATAGAAAGTGGAAAACATACAAGACCACTGATCTCCCTCGATCAGAGGCGCCACGCAAGATCTCACTCTGTGGTCAAAATGATCACAAGAATAGAGAGCAACAACCCCACAACTACACGGGGGGACCTAGTGAGTGACCTGCAGAGAGCTGATACCCAAGGCTACCATCAGTAACACATTTTGCTGCTGGGGATTCATCTGAAGTTTGCTAGAGAGCATCTGGATGATCTAGAAGAGGATTGGGGGAGTGTCATATGGTCAGATGAAACCAAAATAGCTCCTGAGTAGAGGTCAGCAGCACACCGTCCCCACTATAGATAGTGTTGGTAGCGCCCTGCCCCCCACCCCCCACCCCAGGAGCTGGATGGTGGACCAGAATCTCCTCGAAGCTGTACAGAAGTCTTGCTCCATGGTCTCACCGAACTCCTCCCATGCGCGGGTTTTTGCCTTGGCGACCACCCAAGCCGCGTTCCGCTTGGACTGCCGGTACCCATCAGCTGCCTCTGGAGTCCCACAGGCCAAAAAGACCTGATAGGACTCTTTCTTCAGCTTGACAGCATCTCTAACCACCGGTGTCCACCAGCGGGTTTGGGGGTTGCCACCACGACAGGCACCAACGATCCTGCGACCACAGCTCCGATTGGCTGCCTCAACAATGGAGGCACGGAACAGGGCCCATTCAGACTCAGTGTCCCCCGCCTCCCTCGGAACATTTTGGAAGTTCTGTTGGAGGTGGGAATTGAAGCTCCATCTGACAGGAGACTCTGCCAGATGTTCCCAGCAGACCCTCACAATACGTTTGGGCCTGCCTGGTCTGACCGGCATCCTCCCCCACCATCTGAGCCAACTCACCACCAGGTAGTGGTCAGTTGACAGCTCCGCCCCTCTCTTCACCCGAGTGTCCAAGACATGTGGCCGCAGGTCAGATGAAACAACAACAAAGTCGAACAAACATCGTCGAGCTGCGGCCTAAGGTATCCTGGTGCCAAGAGCACACCTTTATGTTTGAACATGGTTTTCATTATGGATAATCCATGACTGGCACAGAAGTCCAATAACAAAACACCACTTGAATTAAGATCAGGGGGCCCTTCCTCCCAACCACACCTCTCCAGGTCTCACTGTCGTTGCCCACGTGAGCGTTAAAGTCCCCCAGCAGAACGAGGGAGTCACTGGAAGGAGCGCTTTCCAGCACCCCCTCCAAGGTCTCCAAAAAGGGTGGGCAGTCTGAACTGTAGTTTGGTGCATGAGCACAGACCACAGTCAGAACCCATCCCCCTACATGTAGGTGGAGGGAGTCTACCCTCTAATTCACTGGGGTAAACCCCAACATACAGGCACCAAGATGGGAGGCAACTAGTATGCCCACCCCTGCTCGGCGCCTCTCAGTGGGAGCAACTCCAGAGTGGTACCCAGAGTCCAACCCCTCTCAAGGAAACTGGTTCCAGAGCCAGAGCCATGCGTTGAGGTGAGTCCGACTATATCTAGTCAGATCCTCTCAACCTCACACACCAACTCAGGCTCCTTCCCCACCAGAGAGGTGACATTCCATGTGCCAAGAGCCAGCTTCTGTAGCCGAGGACCAGACCGCCAAGGTCCCCGCCCTTGACAACTACCTGTCACACACTGCACCTGACCCCTTTGGCCCCTCCCACGTGTGGTGAGCCCATGGGAAGGGGGACCCACGTTCCTCTTCGGGCTGTGCTCGGCCAGACTCCATGGTTGAAAGCCCGGCCACCAGGCGCTCGCCAGCGTGCCCCACCTCCAGGCCTGGCTCCAGAGGGGGGCTGCGGTGACCCACGTCCGGGCAAGGGAACACAGGTTCCATTTATATAAGCAAATCACAGATAAATATTGAATGAGTGGATGGTTTGACCTCTCCCTGGGCTGCCACCTTACGATGGTGGAGAGGTTTGAGTGTCCCAATGATCCCAGGAGCTAAGTTGTCTGAGGCTTTTTGAGCTTGGTCCACATTGCCAGCAGTAAGCCGATCTCATTTTCAGTGAGAGTTGGATTCCACCAAGGCTGCCCTTTATCACCGATCCTGTTCATAACTTTTATGGACAGGATTTCTAGGTGCAGCTAAGGTGTTGAGGGGATCTGTTTTGGTGGCCTAATGATCAGGTATCTGCTTTTTGTAGATGATGTGGTCCTGGTGGCTTCATCAGAACGTGATCTCCAGCTTAAGCTGGAGCGGTTCGCAGCCGATTGTGAAGCGGCTGGGATGAGAATCAGCTCCTTCAAATCCGAGACCATGGCCTTTAATCGGAAAAGGGTAGAATACCTTCTCCAGGCCAGGGATGAAGTTCTGCCCCAAATAGAGGAGTTTAAGTATCTCAGGGTCTTGTTCACGAGTGAGGGAAAGACAGGCGGATTGGTGCTGCATCTACAGTTATGCGGGCATTGTACCAATCTGTTGTGGTGAAGAGAGAGCTGAGCCGGAAAGCAAAGCTCTCGATTTACCGGTCGATCTACGTTCCTACCCTCACCTATGGTCATGAGCTTTGGGTAGGTACAAGCGACCGAAATACGTTTTCTCCGCAGAGTGGCTGGGCTCTCCCTTAGAGATAGGGTGAGAAGCTCAGTCATCCGGGAGGGGCTCGGAGTAGACCACGTCAAGAGGAGCCAGTTGAGGTGGCTTGAGCATTTAGTTAGGATGCCTCCTGGACGCCTCCCTGGTGAGGTTTTCCAGGCACGTCCAACCGGGAGAAGACCCAAGAGAGAACCCAGGACATGCTGGAGGGGCTTTGTCTTTCGACTGGCCAGGGAACGCCTTGGGATTCACCCGGAGGAGTTGGCCCAAGTAGCTGGGGAGGGAAATCTGGGCCTCTCGGCTTGGGCTGCTGCCCCCGCGACCCGACTCTGAATAAGCGACTGAAAATGGGTGGATGGATGGATGGATGGGTTGGTCTTTTCTGAACTTTTAAACACAGAAACACTCCTTTCCCACAAGTTTGTTCCTCTCATTTTGGGCAGAACTTTGCTGATTTTGTGCTCATGGCTTTAATTCTTGTTCAACCAGACAAAACCAGCTGATACTTTTAGACACACTGGATCAAGAAGTCACCAAGTTCAGAGAGTGCAACACCTTGCTGGATCTCAATTCTCTGGTATGACTGGATGTCTAATGATGGTGATATAATCTCATTTCTGTCGTGCTGTTCTTGTTGGTACTTTCTCAGCTAGAGCGATTTCTAATCCAGCTTGTTTTTCTTAGTTTACAGAAGCCAAAGTTTACCAAAGTAAACTGGTCAACATAAGGAAAGAGATGATCATGCTTCATGAAAAGACAACAAAGCTTAAGGTTTGTGTCTATGCACACATGCCCTGGGACGAGGCAAAGTACTGGGTAACAGCTGTTTGATGTGAACTACTGTTTTCTTTTAGAAAAGAGCGTTGAAGCTGCAGCAACAGAAGCAGAAGGAGGCGCTGGAGAAGGAGCAACAACGTGAGAAGGAGCTGGAAAGAGAGAGGCAGCTTATAGCCAAACCTGCTAAAAGAACATAGAATCCTCAACAATGGCTGCTGTATTGAAGGACCACAGCGTGGATTGACTACATATCTACTGAACATCACATTACTTTTAACCATTTTCCAATAACTTCTTTTTTATTTGTTTGACAACCCATGATAAGATTGCCAGACAGCTGGAAACTACAGCTATTTGAAAAACAGAAAGAAATTAGATCCACCAGACATCACAGTAGAAATGTTTATGTTTACTAAATGTCTTTTGTTTGAATATAAGTCATTATAACATTTTACTTTTCAAAAAGTAGCACCAGCCTCATATAACGGTTCCATTCTACCAGAATCACAACATTTTCTGATTTGCTCAAACCGCTTCTTTTGCATATTTTGGTTTGTGCACCTTATTAGTGAGTCGTTTGTTCCAATGACTTTGCTTTGCCTTATTCACCTGCATCCGCACACCTGAAGGCCTTAGAGATTAATGTCCTTCAACAGCAATTAACACCAGACCACGAATGTCAGAGGTTTGAATTAAACTTCACAAGGAGCCTATTCTCCAAAAGATAAATCCAATTTTATAGTATTTATGGATTCTGTGTGATGGATCAGTGCTCTGTGTGGGATGTTTTTTACAATCACTATTATTTAAAGGCAAGTTAAATCAGTTTCGTTTGTTCAAATGCACCGACACATTTCCATGTGGCTGTGCACGTATTTAAACGAGACCAACGTCTAACCGATCGAAAAGTTTAGCATTTTAAAGTGTGCATTCAACTTAATTATTAATAAAATAATCTACTTTTTCCTTGGTTAATTCGAAACTCTTTTTAGACTCATTGGAAAATGGTTACCTCCATAAAAACCTTATTGCGATATTTAGTAAATGGAACAAAACATGAGATGTTTGTGTTTGGTGGATCATATCAGAGTTTGCCAAGAACACAAGAAACCAAAGAAATGAACTTTATCATCAAACGCTGGTGTTCCTGCTCTCCTCTGCTGATGATGCACAAATGTGTAAACTTTTATGAGTGCAGAACAAATGCTTTTCTCTGTCAGACAATGATCTGAGACCATTACTGTGTCTTTTGTCAAAGTATTAGTACGTATTGTCTCTGATCGTCATGCCGTTTAGTGATAAATGTTGTAAAATCAGCGTGTTATTTAAAAAGGTTCTGCACTGAATTCGATTGCTGCTGGAGGCCACATAGTGTATAGTATTATGACGATATGGATGATAAAATGTACCAAAATCTTCAGTATCATCTGTTAGGCTCCTTCTTTCAGAAGCGTCTATGCACTAGTGCTTTTCAAACTGCAGTGTTTATACAGTTAATAATAAAATCCATTTAAGAACTTGTTTTTGTCGATAGATAATTTATATCACAACACACTGATTTGTAGCTTTATACGTGCAGATTTAATATACAGGTAAAACTAGAAAAATTTGTGTCTGTGTGTGTGTGTGTGTGCGCTCTGTCTTCTTGATCCCCAGTGAGTCGTGGTGGAATTCTGCTTATACTGAGCCAGAATCCTCTGGAGGTTTCTTCCTGTTAAAAGGGAGTTTTTCTCTCCACTCTCATTGCATGCTTGCTTGGTATGAGGATTGCTGTAAAGGCACTGACGTTAGTCAGTGACTCAGTGCAGTTTGCTGGGTTCCTTATATAGGAAACTTTATTTCTGATTGGCTTAATGAATGGACCTGTATTGGAATGCTTATTATGTGAAGTGCCTTGAGACGACGCTTGTTGTGATTTGGCGCTATATAAATAAACTTGAACTGAATTGAATTGAATATGGTGCAAAAGTTCATTTATGTCAATAATTCAATTTAAAAAGTGAAACTAACAAATTAGATACTCATTGCACACAAAGCCAGATATTTAAAGGTTTTGGCATAACTGATGATTATGGTTTACAGTTTATGAAAACCCCATATTCCTAATCAAAAACAATTAGAATATTGAGAAAAGGTTAAATATTCTAGACTCAAAGTGTCACATTAATTAACCAAAACACCTGCAAAGGGTTCCTGAGCCTAAATAAATGGATTTTTGCACCCTATTCCAATTTTTCGAGTTTCACCTTTAAAGCTAGTGCCCGCGTGCTTCATTACTAGCTGTAGTAAACATTTCTTCCACTAGATGGCAGAAGAGAACAGCCTTTATCTCTGAGTTTAAACTGCTTTCTATATCATTATATAATACTTATATAACTAATTATAGCCCCACCCATGCTACATTACTCACAGTCTGTTTTTATCAAGTCTCTATTCATCAACTGAACATTTAAAATGTAAAGATTTTATTATTATGATTGTATTTGACACAGCACCTTCTAGAATTCTGCAGCCCCCAAAGAATAGAATAGACTTTATTGATCCCACAGAGGGTAAATTCACTTGTTACAGCAGCACAAACACTTAGAAAATAATTCAAAGAAAAGTAATAACAAAGGTACGTGTATTTATACATAGGCAGTAAGCCATTATTGTGACCTTTGACCAATTAAAACCACAAATAAAAATGAAACTTGGGTTCCAGAACTATGCAGAATATTGTAAGGCACACAAACACACTATGTAGATCTGGTATTGCACAAGTAGTTAACACGTACTGAATGTTACGTTGATGCTATTGTGTACCAGGATAATGCCAGTAGCAGCTAAACTGAGGAGTTACGTTAAATGGCCTGTATTTGATATAGAGTGTTTTAGAGTCATGCAACCTTCCAGCATATAATTATTATGACAACGTACCTGATCACGCTGGGTGTGAAAGCTGCTAACTGATATTTTACTGACTCCTGTCCTGACCAAGTTTGATGCCAGAGTTCGTGAACACTAGTGTGTTGTTTTCAACAATCGTCGTCTGTTTGGATCTGACGTACTATTGTCACACACCAGCCTTACAAACACAAGTTTGTTGACAGAGAAGTAGGTTACATTCCTCTCACTCCCAACACTGCCATGTGTATGCCACACCTACTTCCATTTCACATGAAACTCTAAATTTAGTTAAACTCAGACAAAAACCATCACGACTCCATCCACCCCAGCCTGGCCCAGTCTGGACCAGTCCTGGACCGCAGTGTGACCACTGACTGGTTCTGCTCTGATACAAGAGAAACAACAAGCTCAGTCAAACCCTCTTTGGCTTATGTGTTACACTTTTAAATAAGCAGTGGATGACTTTTTGAGATGTGTTAACTTACTTCTGGAACCGAGTCAGTTTGATTTTGAGAAAACATTTATAGGATGAGAAGAGTTTGTACCTAAGTAAATAACTTAAGGTTTTATGCTTTTGTGGAACTTTTTATTTGTTTTAATTTTCAATAAGCAAGTGTGTGTGTTGATGTGGTTTCGTCAAATGTCAGAAAGGGTTGTGAAAGTTCACACATTTATGAATCAATCACAAAAGTATTCTAAACGTTAGAGTAACATTTTTGTCCCAAATATAAACAGCCCAGAATCTTCTAAATGTTATTAAAATAAATAAATAAATAAATAAATAAGGAATGTTTGGTATCATCGGTCTACCTTTAATGTTGGCTGATATCTTTATAAAGTACAATAAATGTTTTATCACCATAGCTGAAATGTACAGAACAAGAAAAAAATATGTTACTAATACACACATCTTAGCGTCAGGTTAGGGAGAACGAGATTCAGCTGCTGTTGGAGACAGAATAAATATGACACTTTTCCTATTAATGACTTATGCATGCATGATAGGAGCTAGGTGATGCAAGTAATCTTTTTTTTTTTTTATGACAGGAGGACACAGGAAATACCTGTATGGATTTGTATCGGAAATTAAGTCGACAATATCAGTGTATCAGATATCGAGTGTCCATAAAATAAATAAATATATAAGTAAATTCCCTGAATATAGCATTCATTTGTCAAGTGACATTCTAGAACCTGGAAAATGATATTTATCTGTTATATTATTATTATTATTATTATTATTATTATTATTATTATTATTATTATTATTAACTAACCATTCTGGCTTCTTTAATTTCACAAAAAAATATTTTCTTATTTCTTTTAAATCAACATGTTATTTAGAGAATTTAGTGTCTTAAATCCAACAATCTCATAAAACGTTTTTGTTACAAAGTGTTGTTTTTGTTCCTCGTTGCTCCTATTTAAATGTTCCATTAAGAAAATATTTAAATGTCTTCCTGTAGAACAGACCTGCTGCCAGTTAGCACCATTGTTTGTAAAACGTTCCTCTACCTTTGTTGGTAAACAAACATTTTATTTTATTTTCTCATTTCTCTATTTCCTGGTACCCATTTAGGACTGAGACATTAAACACTGATTGTGGAGCGTTTTTATATTTACATTTAATTGTGCCTCAGGGTAAGAGAATTTACTTTGAAGTTGTTGGAGGCGATCAAAAGAGGTCCTGTACTGTCAGAAGGTGTGGGTGTTTGAGCTTCCAGAGACGCGGTGGTTTCCGAGGCGGGGTTGGTGTTGTCTCCAAGCGTTTGGTTGTAGACTTGTCTGTTTTTAGAAAGTTTGCCGTCAGGGAAAACACAGCCCCCCCCCCCCCCCCCCCCCTCTCTCCAAAAGCCACAGTCATGGAGCAGCAGATGATCTTCCTGTCTGAGTAAACAGTGATTCAGATGGGTGAGGAGTGGGAGGCTGAGGTCTGCTTCACTGCCTCTCCCAGACCCTCCACAACAGGAAGTGGGCTTAGGGCGCACACTGGAGCTTCATCATATCATTATTTCCCTTAGCTTTAGCCATTTGGTCTGAGTGGTGGTGGAGTTGATGCACACATGTGAAAACTTTGGAAAACACATAGCTGCAGTGTTTTGGTCCACAGCAGCAGTGAATTAGGTGATTTTTCCCCTTCTCGTCCATGTCTTATGTAACTTTTCATTTTCAAGTCAGGACAAGTGGGATCGGTGGGACCGAAGAACATTTGTAATTAAGGTTCTGACTCAACATTTGGCACAGAAAGGCCATTTAAGCTCTCTACCACACAACCAAAGTAGCAGTCTCTCATTTCAAGTTCAGAAAGACATCCTGTAGTTTCTCTGCAGAACTCAGTTACAAAAGTAATCAGCCAATAATTTACCTTATCATCAACAAGGGAGGTGGATCCTGTTATTTTTGCTCTGGGGTGTTATCTGCTGAAAGGTTCCTTGTCTCGTTTTCTGATGAAACCCTCTGATTTAAGATGATCCCACAGTCAAAACAGAGTTAATTACATAATAAACACATGTTCTCAAATGAAAACTATAAGATCAGACTTGTTTACTTTATTGTTACATAAAGTTTAAATATAAAATGTGTGTTTTGTGGGGCATTTGTTTTTATGCAACTTTTCTAGAATAAGCAATGTCAACAGCAACGTGCAGCATCTATGTGAAGCAGAAGCAGCCCTGCGGTGTGTCCAGTTTAATACCTGAGGTCCTTTAGGGGTCATGCAGGGTCGTGTTGTGTCTGCATTGCAGTATAACAGCTCCAGACTACGTCTACTCAGTGTACAGACAGAGAGGGTGAAGCACAGTAGATGTTTTCGCTCTGGCCGTACGCAGGTGAAATGTCAGCTCTGCTCAGCTCATTGCCACGGCAGCTTTTCACACTTTCAAAACAAGTCACTGCAGCAATTTCGGTGGTCACTTAAGGGTTTTTATGACAAGAATGGCTCCTCTAAGGCCGCAGTAAAAGGGGGATAAAAATAGAAAAAGCTTGTAGGCTGCAAACAAGCAGAGAAGCTGTGGCGAGAGGAAAGGATAATTTGGCTGCATAAACGAGCCCTGTCCCTGTTGTTTTCTTTGGTTAGAGTTCGTTAAAGGGAACGCCGTGATTCCGTCAGCGGGACAAAGAGATTGTTTTCAGGTAGGCGGCCGCAGAGCTGCAGTCACCTCTGCAGCCAGAATGGTTAGTGGTTGCACAGCTGTGTGGTGTCTGACCTGCGTGAGGTGCAGATATTATGATCCAAACCGTAAATGTATGGAGTTAGAGGTCTGAGGGGAGGATTTATAGGGTTGTTTATATGCTCTATTTGAGTCCACCACAGCAGACTGTTGCTTCCTCAGCTTTTGGGATAAATGGTGGAGAGGTGCTTAAGAGGAGGACATGGGTGCAGCTCACACACACACACACACACACACACACACACACACACACACACACACACACACACCGACAAGACAGGAAAGCAGGCGTATACAAGTTTTAAACAAACACCATCCAGTAAAAACCGTGCAGAAGCCCTCAGAACCCGTGGTGTGGCGGTCGGTGTGGTACAGAAAACTGCAGTTTAGACTCACCATGGATGTCAGAGGCCTGCACCTTCTAACAAAATAAAACCTCATCATCAAGATGCATGCATTTGAGGACCTTGAGGTGACAGTAATGTTAGTTTCTGCAAACATGAAAGAGTTCAATGTGTAAAAAGAGAAATGTAAGTTTAGCCATTGAGACGTGTTTGTGTGCGATTCACTGAGACCAGACCAGTAATGCAAGCTACAGATCTTATCTACTACGTTAACGTCTTGACTGAAAAGTTGCACCCAGTTTTCAATGACCCAGATGCCACTTTAAACTATTTTTACCACCATAAAAATAAAATTCAGCCTTTAAGTTGAACTTATGAGCTCCTGTTTAAATGTTGGCATACACAGTACCTGCTGCAGGTGCTGTTTATACCCCAGAGTAAAACCTCCAGTCCTAAAAATGTTGCTTTAGACATACTTCATGGACTGTGTCGGTGTTTATTCTGCTTAAAAACAAAATCAGGCTGTCCCGCTCTCTCTGGACTCGTACTCTAACTCAACCTGACATAACAGCAAACGTCTGTTTTAAGCTTTAAAGGCAAAGCAAACAATATTTATGAGTTTTAATGACATTAATGTTAAATGAAAGAATGAATTTGTGTTTAATGAAGTATTAAACTCTCACCACCAAAAGGACTTTAAAACCTATATTTATTGATGATCACCTGTAATTAAAAAACACTCCTGGGAAAGGGACGAATGTTTCAAATCATCACTGTTTGCTCCAAAAGCTGTTTCAGAAACGTGTGTGTGTGTGTGTGTGTGTGTGTGTGTGTGTGTGTGTGTGTGTGTGTGTGTGTGTGTGTGTGTGTGTGTGTGTGTGTGCCCTTTGAATAAAACAAGACGTAAGCTGTTTTCAGACATCCACACATGTGTGCAGCTGTAATATCATCATCTGAAGACTCCACAGTGACTCACAAGGTGGAAATTACAGTTTGTTCTCAAAGGCTTGGATAGTCAGGAGAGTTAATCTGTTACTTTGGGTATTTTTTACCAGAACATACAGGTGCTGGCCAGTAAATTAGAATATCATCAAAAGGTTGAAAATATTTCAGTAATTCCATTCAAAACGTGAAACTTGTACATTATATTCATGCAATGCACACAGACCAATGTATTTCCAATGTTCATTACATTTAAATTTGATATTCATAAGTGACAACTAATGAAAACTCCAAATTTGGTATCTCAAAAAATTAGAATATTCTGAAAAGGCTGAATATAGAAGACACCTGCTGCCACTCTAATCAGCTGATTTACTCAAAACACCTGCAAAGGCCTTTAAAAGGTCCCTCAGTCTTGTTTTGAAGGCACCACAATCATGGGGAAGACTTCTGACTTAACAGCTGTCCAAAAGACAATCATTGACACCTTGCACAAGGAGGGCAAGACACAAAAGGTGATTGCTAAAGAAGCTGGCTGTTCGCAGAGCTCTGTGTCCAAGCACATTAACAGACAGGCGAAGGGACGGAAAAAATGTGGTAGAAAAAAGTGTACAAGCTCTAGGGATAACCGCACCCTGCAGAGAATTGTGACGACAAACCCATTCAAAAATGTGGGGGAGATCCACAAAGAGTGGACTGCAGCTGGAGTCAGCGCTTCAAGAACCACCACGAGGAGACTCATGAAAGACATGGGATTCAGGTGTCGCATTCCGTGTGTCAAGCCACTCTTGAACAAGAAACAGCGCAAGAAGCGTCTCGCCTGGGCCAAGGACAAAAAGGACTGGACTGATGCTGAGTGGTCCAAAGTTATGTTTTCTGATGAAAGCAAGTTCTGCATTTCCTTTGGAAATCAAGGACCCAGAGTCTGGAGGAAGAGCGGAGAAGCACAGAATCCACGTTGCATGAGGTCCAGTGTAAAGTTTCCACCGTCAGTGATGGTGTGGGGTGCCATGTCATCTGCCGGTGTTGGCCCACTCTGTTTCCTGAGGTCCAGGGTCAATGCAGCCGTCTACCAGGAAGTTTTAGAGCACTTCATGCTTCCTGCTGCTGACCAACTTTATGGGGATGCAGACTTCACCTTTCAACAGGACTTGGCACCTGCACACAGTGCCAAAACCACCAGCACCTGGTTCAAGGACCATGGTATCCCTGTCCTTGATTGGCCAGCAAACTCGCCTGACCTTAACCCCATAGAAAATCTATGGGGTATTGTGAAGCGGAGGATGCAATACGCTAGACCCAACAATGCAGAGGAGCTGAAGACGACTATCAGAGCAACCTGGGCTCTCATAACACCTGAGCAGTGCCACAGACTGATCGAGTCCATGCCACGCCGCATTACTGCAGTTATTGAGGCAAAAGGAGCCCCGACTAAGTATTGAGTGCTATACATGCACATTCTTTTCATGTTCATTCTTTTCAGTTGGCCAACATTAGAGAAACAAACATTTTTTCATTGGCCTTTAGAATATTCTAATTTTCTGAGATACCAGATTTGATGTTTTCATTGGTTGTCACCTATAAATATCAAAATTAAACGTAATAAACATCGGAAATACATTGGTCTGTGTGCATTGCATGAATATAATGTACAAGTTTCACGTTTTGAATGGAATTACTGAAATATTTTCAACCTTTTGATGATATTCTAATTTACTGGCCAGCACCTGTAATCCATAAAAGTGCTAAAAAAAAGAACCGTAGACATTAACTTTAATGTAAGGATTATTACTAGAGAGGAAACACAGGAGGAAGGCCTTTAAGCCCCCAGTAGCAGACCTCTGACCTACTTTTCTATACGTCTGGCTGAATTATATAATCATGTGTGTTTTAGAGTAACATGAGACGTGTGGAGTGAAAATGGCACGCCCAGATAGTTTCAGGCTTCTGTGGAAGTTTAGTTACCACAGCCACTGTTACTCACATCCTCTAACAGGAAAACAGGATTCATGCAAATAGCAATGCTTACGTGTGCAACGTTTCAGGGTTTTAGCAGCAAACTTTCAAGAAAATAAGAAGACTTGTCTCGGTCTTTTGCAGGATTAACAATTTGCACCTTCTCCTGTGTAAAACTCTTTGTGGCCATCTCCCGTCTACATGCTGATTTCATCATTCTACGTGTAGAGAAACGTTTGAATACTCTGCCTCATTCTTGGAATTAGCTCTAAAACCTGGTCCCAGAGATGTTAGACCACATGGCACTGATGAGCTGCTCCCTGCTTCAACAGGAAACTCTGATTAAGAGCTTTAATCTTTCCAAGCCAAATTAAGAAATGAAAAATCATTTTCAAAGGATTGTATATTTAGCAGCACCGTGTGTATAACTGACCGTGATATTTTAGGGGTTAATTAAATTAACTCTCTGGTGCTTTTATGTTGATATAAGTGAAGGTACTGAAAGTTTAGGGCATTTTTTCTCATGTTTATTTCATTCAATAAAAAAATACTAATAAATAAACAATATGCATTTACACACAAGGGCTGCGCAGTGGTTAGAGCTGTTGCCTTGCAGCGAGAAGGTGCTGGGTTTGCTTCCCGGCCTGGGATCTTTCTGCATGGAGTTTGCATGTTCTCCCTGTGCATGCGTGGGTTCTCCGGCTTCCTCACTCGGTCCAAAAACATGACTGTTAGGTTGATTGGTCTGTCCAAATTGTCCTTAGGTGTGAGTGTGTGTGTGCATGGTTGTTTGTCCTGTGTTGATCTGTGATGGACTGGCTCTCTGTCCAGGGTGTACCCCGCCTGATTGCCCATTGACCGCTGGAGATAGGCACCCCGCGACCCTACGTGGACAAGCGGGTTCAGACAATGGATGGATAAACACAATACAACTTGAATGAAAGGGAGCAGATGGAGGAAAAAATCTTATAATTTCTGCCCCATTTTTAAACAGAAATTAAACTCACACATTCCCTCGAAGTTCATTCAGTCACGTTCCTTGTCCATATTATAGCCACAGACAATCACATTTATATCCACCCAACACACTTTATCTAATAAATTCTCTAAACACTTTGAGTTCTTGACTTTCACTTCTGTCCAGGTAATTCCATAATTTCACACCATTCACTGAAATACTCATTTCCTTCATTCTGGCTCTAAATCTGGGTATTTTTAAAGACTTCAGTTGCCTTCAACATGCAACTACTTTCCCTCTTTTCAAACAATCGCTGAATTTGTTTTGGCAATGAACCTTTATACATTGTATGCAATATTCTACAGTTGACCAAATCATGAAATTTCACTACTTTCTATTTTATAAACGGGTTAGATGGAACTTTACTGTTAATTCTAAGCTCTTTTCTGTAAAGCAAAAAATGGTTGGATAGAAGTTCTAGATGCAGTTGCAGTATGGCATTTTTTAAAGATCTGAATTCAGTCTGATCTACGTTGGGCAACTTTTATTTGACATTAATCTGACATTTGCAAATGTTCCATGTATTGCTCCAATAGTTGTAGTCGACGTGTTTTGGGGATAATTTACTGTTACAAAACGTTAAACCTTACCCAACAACCCTAAATGTGGTAAATTCTGAAACTTTAACCAGGCAAATTTTAGCTTAGATAAGATTTATGGGCATTTAGATTCTTAATTATGCAATCTTCACATTTCCAAGAAACTTGTGATGGAATTCAGCAACGTCCTCAAAAGCTGCGGTCATGAGGTTCAATCTCGTGAGTTACTTATCAGTCACACCAGCTGCTGCCAGGAGCCATGATGGCGCAGGCCATCTGTACGCTGGGAGCAGCTATCAGGAGCTGCAGCTGTCAATAGTCTTCATTCATGTTGCATCAATTTGAGCCAAAAATGGAACATGATCTACGTCAAGTCACTACAGGACCACAGAGTTAGCAGAAGGATCATTTATTGACTCATGCAACCATCCTCTGAACGTGTTCCATTTGCTCTCTTTGGCTGTAATAAAGCAATAAATATGATATAAAACAAAAATCACACCAGCATTTTATGCTGTTAAACATACATAAAATAAAAAACATGGCAGTGAAATGAGCTGCCAGGTAGGAAATTAAGGCATGGTGGTCTTCTGCTTGTAGAGTAAATGCTTTAGCCGATCAGGTGACCTGGAAAAGAAAAACAAATTCAGCTGTAATGATGGTGAGGGGTTTGACAACACACACCATCAGGTGAGTTCAGTACCTTTGTTAGAGAGATGCCTGGATGTTATTCAGGATGTTGCCATAGACAAAGTTGAACAGCTGTTCCTTTGACATGGTTCCATCTAGCTGCGCTGTAACAGCACACCAATGTTCAGAAATTAATGCTTTCATCAGATAACACCAAACCTTTATCATGCATACTTACCAACATCAACTGCTGATTCCTCCATGATGTTCTTGTGTTTCAGGTACATGGGCCAGACGTGGCCATCGAACAGGCCGGGGGGGTCAGGCACCACGTAATTCCTAGAGCTGCAGAAAATAAAAAACACGTTTACATAAAGCAAATAAGGCAGATAGCATAGAAAACATTCTGAGCATTCACCTCCTCCTCTTTTTGCATTCTTCGTATGGGATGGAAATAAAGTAGCGTTGGTTTAGCACGTCGATCAAAGGCCTGAAACAATAAATGAAAGGATTGTTTATTTCCACCTTAAGACCAGAACCTTATCTACTGTGATGTAACTGAGCTCCTACCCATAGGTGTAAAGCAGGAAGCCCTCCACAATAAGGATGTGAATCTCTTCCTCCTTCTTGTGGTCGGACTTGGGCATAATTTCAGTATCCTGGGTGTTATTAACGCCATGAGACTTCTCAAACTTCACCGGGTTCTCCAGCCATCCGTGGATGGTACTCATCATGGCGTCCATGTCCAAAGCAGTGATGACTACATAGAAATAGCAGGAAGGACGGAAGGAAAAGGGGGAAATAAAAGACGTACAGGAAATTGCAGGGAGCAAATGAGAACCTCAGTTAGAGTTGAACCTTTATTGCACGGAGATTACAAAGAAGAGTGTTACATTTAGTTCAAACACACACACACACACACACACACACACACACACTCTTTCATAAAACCCAGGCTTACCATCGTACTGCTTAAAGCCATCTTCACCAACTTCAATCTGATCTTGTGGCTGAAACATACATCGATAAGATGTACCCAGGTACATTCCACTAGGACTAAGCTTTATGGAAGGCTCTAATAGTGTTATTACACACTAGTTACACAGCCTATTAACACAAGTGGCCACGTGTTTACACACCACCGAATTGTGATACTCTGACTCTATACTGGATGGTCACAATTTAAAGGAAGTGTGTATGATGATGCTCACCTTGAAGAAGTCATCTTGATGCACCACGCAGCAGTTGGGTAAGGTCTTGATGAGTCTGTTGGTGAGGGTGGTCTTCCCTCCGTTGGTCACTCTAACAAAAGTAACAGATTATTAACGTTGGCTGATGCAAGACAAGCAAAGGAGGATGTCAACAATAAGGCTAATATTAAAAACAGACGTGTTTTGAAATCAAGAGGCTAAAAGCAGACGTTTTTTATGACAGATTTCAAATTTCCGCGTCACATAAAAGGGTGGGTCCACTAGCTGGTCCTTGAGCTCATTTCTCTCACAATCATCAGATTAGCCTTTGTTCACATACATATAATCTGATAACAAACCCAAATATTAAATTAAATAATAGGTTTTGATAAAAGGGCACTTTAACATCCGCAAAGGCAGCAACAGTTTAGCGGATGCTGTTCCCACGTGTACCGGGGCCTCGAGCAGCTTGGTTAGCCTGCTAGCTTAGCTTAGCTTAGCTTCCAGTCATTCAGAGACGGATCTTACCCGCCAATGCCGATGATGTACTTCATGGTTTCCGTTGGTCAAAGCTCGTGTCAAGTTGAAAACGTCAATAAAACCAGGTCGAGATAACGATGATCTGACGGGAAGAAAGCTTAAAAGAGAAAGGTTGCTGCAGGAAACGTCAACTACTTAAGTCCTCCATGGTACTTGAGGGTTGTGGTAAGAGCAAAGACGTGCTGTCACTCGGACGCGGTCTTCCACCGAGAGAGAACCACTCTGTGCTGTCGCTTCTACACATACTGGAGACAGGGCCGTGATTGGCTATTTAAACACCTCCGGGCTGCAAGGGCAGCCAATCAGAAGCGAGGATCACGCTATGGGATCACCGCAGGTCCGCAAATTCGAGCTCCTCCCCCCACGCCTCCATGTGATTCTTAGATAAAATAAATAAACGAGGTTGTGTTTTTTAGACAATTAAAACGTATTTGTCTGATAGAAACAGTACAAAAACATACATAGAAAGTATAAATGAAAATAAATACTTTTACTTTACCACTGAGTACAACTGCATAGGCTTCACAGTTATACACCAGAGGGAAGAAAAACGCAAAATCAAACCAAAACATCAATTATTTGTTAGACTTGATGAAATTGATTCTTTTATAAATTAAAGTCACTATCTGCAAAAAGTACTAATCATTTTCTAATGTATGTTTTTTTTTTTTTTTTTTTTTTTTTTACCAAAGGGCAAATGTCAACAAAATCCGTTGTTGGGCCAAATGGTTTTCTGACATGGTGTACTCATTTTAGGATAATTCCAAAAAAGAAGGAACTTATTTAGTTTATGACTTCTTCCACTGCCAGCATGCAAAAACTGATATGTCCCACTCCATTTTAATGGTGATTAAGATCATTGGTTGTTGGCAGTTTATTTAGCAGAGTCCGTTTAGCTTCCAATGATTTATTCTCTATAACCTCCTACATGCAAGTATCAAGGCTATATTTTAAAACACCTTACTATAGCAGCTATTCTTAAAAATGTTTCTTACTCATAAGATACCAGTAGCAACAGTGGAGAAATACAAGTGTGTGACTGCATGCGCACGCCAAGAAAATGCATTTTTGATTCATCACATGTGTTAACCAGAGATAAATAAATTAGACCTTGATACTATTTTCAATTTCCTCAACTGAGCTTCAGCTGCAAGTCATATGAACTCTAAGTCTTTTCTTTCAACCACCATGATATAATGAATACCATCACATTTACAATGTGACTGGAAGTTTCTTTACATTAACTACTGCACCTAATTGTGTTTTTCATGCAAATACTAAATATCACAAAAGTTGTTCTCTTTCCAGCAAATTCTTGGGTGCATTTGAGCTTCCAGTGTGGTGATCTGTTGGTTTCTGGTTGTAACTCCTCCTTAAGTCTTGTCTGATCATTCTTTGATTTTGATTTGACATTATACTTCCTTCTGGACCCCACATGTCAGACTGGGTGTTTCTCTTAACATCTAAACTTTCAGTCCACATTAGTGCAAATATGTCATCTAGACTGCCAGTTTACTCAAGCATCATTTTGAAAATGCATAAAAAATATGTGATCTGAATTTCAAAATAAAAAGCATTTTAATTAAAAAAATAAATAAAACATAGAACAATGAATATTGTAGTACCCATTTTTGCAGTTTACCTTAACGTTAAATAGTTACTTGACTGTTGTTTTCATGATGTTATCATTGCAGCTATGTGTTTCTTCAAGTCTTAGAAATAAAAATATTATAACATAATTTTCAATCACTAGTTATTAATGCTCCCAGTTTTTTTAAGCATATTGTTTATTTTTTGGCGAAGATTGGTAAAAAGAAATGTCTTGTTCCTATTCTTGTAAAAGTTTTACAAAAGATGCTAGATAAGGATTTTCTTAATCAAACTCTTGACTTTACTTATTACTCATGTGTCAAATTATGCCTTACAGGTTAGATTAAAGATAAAAAAAACTTTATCAATGTCACAGGAACAATTTGTGGCCCATGAGTCATTAGAGAAAATGCGTACAATATTTTGGTTTCAGAAACATGTAAAACAACGTGTTCATTTGTACGTCAGTGAATTTCACTGAACTTATCTAATCAGTGAAGGCAGGATCTCCTTCAGAGTCCTAAACAGATTAACTGTGATGCAGCTTTCCTTCGTCTTTTTTATTTTTTTTTAAGTTGATTGATTTCTCGCTAACAGTTTTTCAACCTCTTTTTTTTTTCCAAAGAGATAGCTGGACTCCCAATAGGATCATAGGACACCAAGTGGACGGTCATGAAATCTGAGCAAAACCTCCCTGTCAAAGCACCCCCATCACCCCACTTCTCCTCCAGCTCCACTGGCTGCCAGTCATCTTCAGGGTTCATTTTAAGATCCTGGTTCTGGTCTTTAGGGCCTTACATGGACAAGCATCATCATACATTGGTGATGTCCAGTGACCAAAGCCTACTGGTTGTGCAGCATCTGAAGACCAAAGGTGACAGATCATTTGCTGCTGTGGCCCCCAGACTCTGGAGCTCTCTCCCCCTGAGCCAGAGATCAGTGGACTCAGTGGTCTCCTTTAAAAAGCAGCGGAAACTCACCTGTTCAAGCTGGTTTTGGTGTGGCCTTCATCACCATCCTCTCCTTATATTAAAAATAAAAATAAGAATACCTTTATTTGTCCGTCAGTGGGGGGATTTCATTATTGCAACAGCTCAAGAACACAGGATAGCAGCAGTGGTACACAAAGGATATCACACGAGAGAATATTAGTAAATTAATATAATCAAGATAATTATTGCTCAGAACGATAGTAAATATTAGTTATTATGCTCTTTCTACCAACGCTGCCTTTCCCAGGATCCACTGGTTTCCCTCTATCCAGTTTATTTTCTCTTTCCCTTTCCATTTTAATCACAGTTTTTTCTCTCATTTTAACCATTTTTTAAAATCTTTTTTATTTCTTATATTTAAATTTGTTTGTTTTAGTGAAGCTCTTTCTTTCTTTCTTTTTTTCTTTCTTTCTTTCTTTCTTTCTTTCTTTTTTTCTTTCCTTCTTTCTTTCTTTCTTTCTTTCTTTCTTTCTTTCTTTCTTTCTTGTCTTCAGAAATTAAATATTACAGTGACCTTTAACAAAACCCACTCACACTCACAGACCTGTGCTGTTTGTCTTGCTTTTCTTTGCTTTGTTTAAACCATCTCCTAACCATCTCCATGCATTTTCGTGAGGTTACACCAAAACATTGGCTACGTTGGGGTTTCCACTCTCAACAACCTCAACTATGAAGAGGAAGTCGCCAAATTTGGGATTCAACTTTTTGTGTTTGTATTCATAGTTTGACTCAGTTGCATTCTGAGTGCGTTATAAACCCTTTAAAGAGTGAAACTTTCCCAGATAATCAGAAGCAATGAACTGACCTACCCTTGTTATACGTGTTTTTCCATCAAATGTGGTTTTAAGCAGAACCAATGCAACGTTTTTCTAAAGTTGAGCAATAGCTGCAACGAAGATACTCTTGACAGTGTCAGATTTTAGAAGGATCAAATAAATGTTAAATATAAAGTTGGTTTCTTTAAATAGAATACATCAAGAAAAGAAAGAAAATGATCTTTTATATGGAAGCTCAGTTCAGTTTGACAACTCACACGGCAGAGACGAACACTCAGATCATTTCCTTTCATCAAGTGAAGTTTGAAAACGGCTAATGACCTGACCATGGCAAATATGTAAAATGTCAATTTGCAAGATGTTTCATATCAATGTAATGGACTACATAGCACATCTCTTTGTTTAAAATGGCAAGTAAAAAGTCCAAAGTAGCATTTCAAATGCGAATACATGAGGCAGTCTTCTGCAGCCTCTGATGTGACTCAGCAAAATGAATGAATGAACACAGTATTACTGTTTAGAGATTAAATGATGACACATCTCTGTAAGATCAAGCAGAATCACTTTAATCACATGTAAATTACACTTTCATCTCCTATTAATTTCACCTAAGATGAACTGATGATTAACTGAATAAAAATAGCAACTATTTGATCATTTGTGTTATTGCCACATTCACAAAAAGCTCACTGTGTGCACTGCTGAGAATAAATGTATGCTCTTGAGCTATAGGTTACTGAAGACTTGGAAAGCGTGCATAAAAATGAAAAAAAGTGGATTTCTTAAATAAATTAGAGGATCCCATCAAAAATGGAAGGAAAATGTGATTTTTATCCACCATCATGATTCAAAGAGGACACAAAACAGTGTACTGTTGATCAATATGCATAAAAATAAATGTATTCACACAAATAGCATTTCACGGTCTTGAGGAAGAAAAGCTTGATGTGCTTTCTCTTCCTAGAATTTCAGTCATTGTGACGCCACCAGTGTTTTTACATGATGGTTGACCTTTCATGTGATGCCTCCGTACTCTGAATGCATCAGTCTGATCTGTTTGGAACGTTGTAAAGCTGCTGTTCATTTGATGCAAGAACACTGTAGATACTCCAGAGAGATATTAAAGAATATGTGAACATCATATTCATCGTACTTATGCATGGCTGGTGTTCTTTAAACACTAATAATCAGAAACTCCCCTGTTCAGTCTTGCTGTGTGATGCATATGATGAAATAGTATGAAATATTTAGAATGATCAGACTCTAATATTTAGGTTTGTGTAGCTGTAATATGAGCTGGACATTTTTATCCTTTCAGCTCTGACCAAAACTACCTAAATGCCTGACTGCCATCTGCTGGCTGATGTTTGAACTCATTCTGATCAGTTTTCATATCAGAGGTTTGTTTCAAGTAACGCCAGATCTCTTTTTTAAGATGAGATGGAAAAGCTTCTAAAATTAATTCACAATGTAAGAATCACACAAGGCAGAAAAATTCAACTGCTGGAAAAATTATTTGAGGACTTTATCTCACTGGTTTGCACGGAGAGAGAGAGAGAGAGAGAGAGAGAGAGAGAGAGAGAGAGAGAGAGAGAGAGAGAGAGAGAGAGAGAGAGAGAGAGAGAGAGAGAGAGAGAGAGACTTGACTTTTAAATGTTTTATTTTTCTTTACAGATCAACAATCAGCGTTTATGACTGAAACTTGTTTTCCACTAATAAAACCAGGGCAACTGATAAACCAGTTTAGAAGTTGATCTTTAGGGAGCCCTGTCCATCCAGCAGACAGAGCACCTGCCCAATCCCCCACAACGCTCTAAACGAGTCCAGGTTCCCAGTAAGATCATAAAAGGCGTGTTCGATCTTTAAGCGAGCTTCCACCAGGCCCTTCAG